TAAAATCGGAAGTACCGTGGCAGAATCATGTACGGTTAACATCGAGAGTGTCGTTCAAAGTACCGTGCGATTATTTCGTTGTTATTGTATTTTCACGAGCGCGTGCTAATGTAAGTGTCAAAAGTACGAACAAAAAAGGTGGAAGGAGAGGAGGTCCAGGCCTGGGGGAGGTTTGGGCAACGGGAGAGCAATCATGTGGTAAGCAGATTATAATTTTAAAAAATATTAAATTTAATATCTAATTTTTTATTAAAATAAAGTTTAAAACTAGTTAATATTAAGAATAAATTTCGAATAAAATTTAAAAAATTGAGAGAATAAAAATAAATGTGGATATTTAAGATAATTTACAAAAAAATAAAAAATTAGACAATAAAAAAAATTGTATTTTATATATATATATATATATATAATCTAATTAGGTATATTGTAAAATATAATATAGGTATATAATTTTGATATTATTTTACAATTTTTAATTATTTAACTTACTTTGGAAAATTAAATTTTATTATATTTTATATAAATTTAGATTTAAAAAAATAATTAATAATTTTTATGACGTAATTTTATTAAATATATTTTACGGTACAAATAAGTTTGATTGCGCATTATTAACTTTTTCAAATAATTAATTAATGTAATTATGACTGTTATTAATAATTGGGAATTTAATTAATTAATTGTTTGGAAACTCATTTATATGCATATAATTTGTGTATTTTATGTTATAGATCGCTTTGAACAATATAGAGCTCTACTGGTACGCATCATCGGTGAGTGTGCATGCATACATTATTTGTATAAATAGATTAAATACCAGTAATTAACTGGAGCGCAATTTTGAACAAAATAGTTAAGAAATTTGTCTCTTTGTGACTTCTGCAAATATTTTTCTTGATATGTATATTCCGAAAAGAAAAACAAATAGAAGGTAAGGAATTTACTATAATGCAGAAAAACTTATAGCACCGTATACATTGATATTTTGTGGGAAATTTTACTCTTTTTTTATAGAAAATTTTAAACAGTTTTACATAATGATAATAAAACACTAATTCTTGTTCTGTAAATAATGATATACTGTGGAACAAGTGAATAAATTACTTAGTAATTTTTTATGTTATTGCAAAGTATGAAAAACAAACGAAAAGACTTAAGTATTGTTCTTAATATTCTTACATTACTGTATTCCGTGTAGTAACAGAAAGAACAGAAGAGCAGAAATCTGGCGACTTTATTTTCATTTATATTTTATGTTCACATAAAATCGATCGCATAGAAATATATATTTAAAACATACATTTAACATTATTTAAAATATATTATTTTAATTTTTGTAACACATTATCTTAAAATTTAATTAGTAAATTAACGTTTTAATCTGATTTCTGTCAAAAAATATTATTAAAAGTTAATTTAATAATTAAATTTTAAAATAATAATATGTAATAAAAATAAAAATAGTAATAGGTTGTAAATAATATGTTATAATAACTTATTCTCGATTAATATTTTTTGACACATATCAGCTGATAACTGTCAAAAATATTAATCGAGTTTAAAGTAACATATTATTTAAAACGCATTATTATTTATAATATATTATTAATTTAAGATTTAATTAGCAAATTAACGCTTCAATGAGCTGATTTCTGTAAAAAATATTAATAAAACGTTAATAAAGTGATAATTATATTTTAAATGTAATAATATGTTTAAAAAATCAAAATAGTAATACATTGTAAATAATAATAATAATATGTTTTAAATAATATGTTGTGTAATATATTTTAAACTTGATTAATACTTTTAACAGTTTATGACAGTTTTTGATAGTATTATGACATATTCAGAATTATAAAGTCATTTTGTATAGCTAATGGATCAGATTCAAATAATATATAAAATGATACAATATTTATCTATTAATTAAGTATTAAGTGCAAACACACACGTACTATCGGTCATATTATAGCATATTTATCGATTTAAATATAAAAAAATATCTTTATTAAATTTCTAAAATGCTCTCAATCGAGCAACAGAAAATTAATTATTTTTAAACGATAACGAATAAAAATATGTAGAAAGAAGTATATTTTTATTAACAAATTAAATAATTTTATCCAAAAATGTGCTTTATAATGTAGATCATTTTTTCATAATGTTAAAAGTTTGTAAAATAAAAATATACTCTTTTCAAATTTTTTTTCATCTCTTTCTTTTTCTTTTTTTGTTAACATACAATTAGGAATACTGATTTCATATAGATATCACTAATATTATCTGTGAGAGATTGTTTGTATTATTTCGATTATTTCTGATAATGAATTTGACAACTGCTGTACAAGTTTTCGTATATATATGAAGCTGACATATCATTTCATGGAAAATCAAAAATAATTGAGAGTTCTAGCTTTATTTTCAATAGTTATAAATTTTTTGATAGTTTAAACTTAAACAAATAGTTTTGACGATTAAATCAAAATGCCTAAGGACAACTGATATGCCAGAATAAAAGAACAGGATTCATATCAATAGTCACAGGTCTATTTATTAAAAGCCAGTGATTCATAATACATCGTTATTTCTTGACATTATATACATTACATACATAATCCGTTTAATATCGTGTATACCTTTCTCGGCTATATACAATTAATAATGAAAAGTATAGGTAGCACAATTTTTCTCAGCTGCGCTACTTGCTAATTGCTTTTTCTCTTTTTTTCTGTGTGTGTGTGTGTGTGAACTTCATCAGAAGCTTCTCTATAAACGGATTTTGCGATTTTTTCGTAGCAATTTACAATAGTACGTAAAACATCAACATCTTATATGACGCCAAAAATATATCGTATATTTCACGTGAAATAACGCAGATAGCATCACGTCCAAAATTAGTGCATAAGACATCATTAAAAAATCTTTAAGAAATCTTATGATGATATCCTAAAGACATCTTAAAAACATCTTAAAGATGTCTTATGCACTAATTTTGGACACGGTACTGTCTGGTAAACATCTTCCTTACATACATTTGAGGATAAGGATTCTTCATACATAATCGACATTTTATTATATAAAATAAATCAATTAATTTAAATCATAAAATAAGTTTATTTCTGAAGAGTATTTATAATCTTCAAAATTAGAAATTAATTTTATGATAACATCCATTATACAATTTTCAATGAAGAAAAGTTGAAATTTAAATCTGTTGATGCGAGAAAGAATAAGTTACTTTAATTTACTTAATTTAATATACACAAATCAGTTTTAATCCATTTTTGTATTCAAATTTTAAATTGTATTTGAATTTACAAGTATTAAAAATCAATTTGATGCTTTAAACCACAGATTTCTCATCTCTCTATAAAATGTCTGAGAATATAAATATATGAAGAAGTAAATACCATTTGTATGTGTATTCTCAGAGAAATTAAGAGCAGCTGGAACACCGCGTATCGCGTATGGGAATACATTAAGAAAGGGTGCGCGAAATGAAACCAGTTTTTTAGCTCCTCCCAAGTCTTTTAAGTATATTCTCGTCTCCTCATTGGTTAAACGTGTCCATTCCATGGTTTCGTGGACATTTGGTTGCACGTATAAACGTTTAATTATTTATAGGTTACACTGTAAATTTTCATTTTCAAGATATTTTTTTCGATATTAAAAGTGAAAAACCATAACGGATTAAAATTTTTCGATTTACATTTCAGAAAGTTGCAATTTTATAATTCAAATATTTTTCATATAGTTTCCATATATTAAACTCGAAAGCATTCCCTACTTTAAAAAATTGATATAATTATAAAATTGATATAATAATCACATTTTTAATTTATAGATGTTAAATTTTTTTATCTGATGTGGATGCGTGTGTGTGTTCTGTACGCATTTGATATCTAAATTTTATATCTTTTTTTATTGCATTAATACAACCTATTTTTTTATTAAAAAGTCCATTTTACGCATAATGCGCATATATAGACTAGAGAACCGATCCTTTCTCAATGCGCGTATTGATAGTGTACAGAATTACTTAAATTTCCATTATTTCAACATGCATCAGCTGCTGCAGTTCACGGACGCGAAGCTTATGATGCGTAGTTGATGAGTCTGCGGAAAAGGCGCCTTTGGTTCTTTAGATTGCAAATAGAAATAATGGATATAAATTGATCAAATTCCTAATTATATAATACTTTTTTAATAATACTTTTTAATAATACTTTTTTAATAACATCTTTTATATTTTTTACAACTCGCTCAACATAATTTCTTAATTTTTTCATTAAAAATAATCTCTCCACTACATCACTACACAGTAAAAAAATTTGTATTTTCTTGTTAAAAACAGTCCTGGTTAAAATTTTTGTGTTAAATATTTAATACATTTATGTGTTAACTCAACATATTACTATTGTGTTAATTAAACTTAAATATTAAATTATTAAAACAACTGAAAAAAGATATAAAAATAACACAATGGGCATCTATTTTTAATTTTAAATAATAAATATGTTCTGTTTTATTAGTGACAAGATCTGTTAAAATTTACAGAAAAAATGTTAGCTTTTTATTTTATAATATAATTTTATAATATAAGTGAGAATGATAAAATCAACATATTTTTAGTTAATTTTTACATTAAAACTATATTAATTTTACACAAAATTTATTTTAAATTACTTGAAGTTTTGCATTTATTTGGTGTTAAAATATTAACAGTACTGTGTTTCCATTTAACATATCCGTATTATATTAAATTAACACAAAAATTTCTGTGGACCGTTTGAGACATGTGATATTTGTTAGATTTAATAGAAACTTTTCAACTGTGTAACGATGAATATTAAATATATTAATTAATTTATTAATAATTTAATCATTTAAATTTAAATCATTTTTTATATCATTTTTGTTGTTACTACTTAATTAGTATAATTAAATTAATATAATTATAATTATTAATATAATTAAATCACTGATTTCTTCTGCTTGTTCTTTATTATTAAAATAAAAATTAGCAAATAACATTTTATTAATGGTAGTTTTTCGCTCAAATAAGCCATTCCGTTTTCAAGTGCATCGTGCGCATTAATAAGATATCAATGCACGCAACACATTAAATGCAGTCTATGCGTATTATGCATGAAACGGAATGCATCGAAAATTATCGTGTATTTATCCATCTTTCAAAAAAATAGAAAAATCAATTATTTTCAAAATACTCTAAATTGCATAACCCAGAAAACCTACATACATTCATGTAAGGATTATCAGAACATATCATACATTCACGCATAATGCACATAGACATTATTCGATTCTTTTAAGTAAATTTTTTGAAGACAATGAATATGATGAAGGAAGACTACGAGAGTGCGTCATCTGATTGTAGAACGTTTTTAAATTTTCCACTCGATTATCGATTCTTTATTGCGATCTGACTCGAATCGAGACGAAAGAAAAAGCAATAAAATCAGGCGAAAGCGTGTATACGTGCAAGCACGTCGTCGCTCTGGCCATGATTATTTCGGTCACTCTCGTAGTCTGTTGGTCACATCGAATGTTGAGGTGGCGGCAGCATGATCTCGTAACCGGCTGGCACGCTTTGCTGATGATGATGATGATGATGGGAGTTGGACATCATTTCATGATGAGTCTGCTGGTAATACTGATGATGCATGCTGGAGTGGCTGGAGTAGTAGACCGAGCTCTGCTCCACGTCTTTTCCTCGGGTTTAAAAAAATTAAAGATTAGAATAATAACATTCAAATATATATACAGGGTGTTGAGGGTGTATACTCACGGGAAAAACCTGGAATTCGCAGGGAATTTTTTTCTACCTTGAGAAATCCTGGAATACTCATGGAATTTGTTTTAAACTCAGGGAATTAAAAAAATGCTTCTTTAATATTAAAATACATTTTATTATAATATATAATATTATATTATATTAAAAATATTTTATTTATGTTAAAAAATTATATATAATAAAAATTAATTTGTTTTGAAATTGTATTTAAAATTTCTTTAAATATTTTAATTTTACCTGCAATTTTGAACAAAAGTACCTGAAAAATCATGGAATCCTCAGGGAATTTATTTATAAGATTTGAGTATACACCCTGTATATAGAAGAGTATAAACGATAGTAATTTTTTACCCGAATAATTACAAAGTAACCGAGTAATTAAATAAGTAGACAAATATAAAATTGACAAACTAGGAATAAAACTTTTAAGTCAGGCTTATATCGTGTTAAAAGTACATAAACACATAATATCATATATATTCCAATAAAGAGAAGGATTGATATTTTTCGAATGTTTAATATACCTGTGTCATACACGCTGCGTCCATAGCAAAGAGCTTTAACATTGTTCATGGGGCTTAATCCACCATTATGCGGATGCGCGGTGTGAACGGACGACGGCGTAACCGGAGTAGCATATCCATGATGAGGTCCCATGGGACTCATGCCCATCGGACTGCATGGATTCATAGCGACTGGAGACATACCCATAGTCGATAGAGGTGACATCGTAAGATTCGGACTGTCGGAATCGATGCTTTGCAACGACTGAATGCTGCCGCCATTGCTCACCGCGCTATTAATCGTACTGTTGGTAGTGCTTTGGCAATTTAGTGGCATCATGTCCCTACAAATAGATTACGATATTAGAGTCTTTGTATACAAAAAGTATTTTTTTGTGAAATATATTTTTATAGTCTTACTGTCTAAGTAGGCCTGTTTTATATGTCATCAAATTTTATCTAAACTAATGCTAAATTATCTCATCTCTGAATTAAGTTTCCATTAAATTACATATAAGCATTATACTCGTCCTCTTCATTCGAATTGTCGTATATATTTTAATGTACAAAATTTTACAAAGCAAAATAATTTTGATGTTTTAGCTAGAGCTTTTTTAAGATTCCATTGTTATTTTTTACGAGCAGTTAAAATTTGAACTGTTAAATGCTCGTTAACGAAATTTTGAAAAGGACTAAAAAAACAAATTAATCACTCCTCGGAGACAAAGGGCCTGAAGTATGTGAGAAAAACGGAGGCCCTAATAATTTTGCTCATAAATCTCCCCGAAAAAGTCCATCTTTTCAAAATCACATTGCGTGCACACGTGTGTTTTGTTTTAAAACTCGCAAAAAAAAGGATTTTTAAACACTTGCTAACTCTTGGGCAGATTCCCTAAGGACGTAAAAGAAAGGATTTCTTCTATTGTCTTTCTAAAAAAAATTTTACGAGTGAATCAAATTGATTTATTGCACGAAAAAGTGTCAGAGCAAAGACAATGACGATGACGTGGACGAGGACGCTATGGTGACGATCATCTTGTTTTATTCGGCGTTATTATTCTATATCTATATACACGTTGCTGCCGTGGAAACCGCGAAACTGACGTGCTCACGCATTCGCGCTTGCGCCCGCGTGTGCGTCAGGCACGGTGGTCCATGTGCAAGAGCAACTCCGCCCATGACCATGAGTTGCCTTTGAGCCTTGCTCTTCTGTTACTCTCCTCCACACCCGCGTTCTTCGCCTAACGCGAACGTCGAGCCGCGCATTTTTATGGCCGCGTTTCAAGGTCTGGTATTTGAAGAAATACGCCCTGCGTGTAACGCCCTACGTACCCCGAATCCCTTTCTCCGGCCTGGTAAATGGGAGTCTAGGTCCCCAGCAGCAAGGAGGGAAGAGAGAAATTTTAGGGCTCATTTCGATAATATTTCCAGAAGGCTATTAACGTCGCCTGTGTTATGTTGTAACAAGTGGACACGTAACTTGGAAAACTTGGATTCTTTTAGAATATATGAATGTGATAAATCAATTTGACTATCGGCAATTTCGCGCGCATGATTCAAACAAATCAAAAGAATCCGTATTCAAATTTAGTCATGGAAAGTTGAGTCACTTAGAAATTATCAGATAGAATCGTATTTATAAGCTGTATTATTTGCATCGTCCCCGTTCGTGACCTGGTGCTTCTCGATCTAACGAGGAAGAAGGCGCGTCCTCGTTCTTACACGTAAAGATAAATCGAGGTAGCGGCAGAGGACCGGCCGTGGCCTTTATGTAGTAAACTATTGGTAGTGCGAACAGCTCAATGGTGAAACGCGAGATGTAAACCGAAACTGCATCATAAAACGGTAATGGGGCGTCGCGTTTCCTTTTCCTAGAGCCTTCGAGACGGGAGGACGCTAAAGGACGGGAAAAGGGAGGAAGTTCAACTTGGTTCTCTGCCACGAAGAATTGTTTTCTCAAAAGGAGAGGAAATGATGGTGAACGGTTGCGAGAAGTTTACGTAAAAAGTTACGCGCGAATAATCTCGTTTGAAAATTCAAAAATCAGTCTCTAGCGAGAAACTATATATTATTTGGCTCCCTTAAAGCTCAAAGCCTCAAGCTCGATAAGTTTTTTTTTTTTAAGATTTTTTTATCAATCAGTAGAGAGACTTAAAAACGTAGATTAGATTAAATAGCTTTGATCTTTGTTAATTAATTCTTCAGAGAGTTTCTAAAAAAAGATTTCTAATAATTCAGGAGAAAATTAATTTCTTAGAATCATAACTTTAAAAATATTTGCATACTGTTAAAGAATAGAGAAAGTTTTGAAGATACCTCTATAAAAATTATCGAGAAAAAATTTTATTAAAGTCTTTGAAAAATATATTATAAAGGGATCCCCTTTTATGCAACCGAGAGTCAACATTTCACATATTTTCTCATCGCGAATTTCGAATGTAACAGATTTTATTATTCGTTTCTAAGAAGACGACGTGTTCTCTGTTCTCATCCAAAACCCATTAGCTGAAAAATTATTAAAAAATTGGCCAGAGTGAAGAAAGAAATGAAGACACGAGTGACGAAAGAGAACAGCATCGAGATCAATCAGGGTAGAATTGGCTGCTGGTCAACCGAATATCTCTGATGCCGGAGCGATGGCTGACGTCGCGTGTATACATATATACACGCAGACATATGGTATACCCCTGACACGCGCAAAGGTGACACGATATATGCGTGTGCTGCGTGAATTTCTGGCGCGTTATGCGTAGTTCGTGCGTGCGCGAGAAGAAAAGAATGGAGAACGAACGCAGGCGTTGTTATGGCTACGCGACGGTGCCGCGACGGTCACGGCCCACACTCTGTCTTTCTCGTTCTCTTTTTCTTTCTCTCTTTCTGTCCTTGTTGCCGGGCCTTACTACCGCTCTATCAGACCCACGAGAAGCCATGCAAATTTCGTCCCTCTTATCGACAGAAAAACGTATAAGTTTTAACACGTTTAAGTTCCCTTATTAGATTTTTAAGTAGTACAAGTCAATATTTCGGAGACGAGACGACAAATTGGAGTATTTTGTCAGAAATTTCTTTCCCGAAGAGAATCTTGTTGAAAAATTCTTCAAAATAATCATGAAGAATACAGGCACAATTTAAAAATGATAAATATATTTAAAAGCAAATATTTATTTCCAACTCTTTTAATTGAAATCAGTGTATTATCACTCCTAAGCGGTGATCTCTGCAGTCACAAGTATATCACTGAAAAATCTCACTATGAAGAATAAGTTAGTGATAGTAGTTGATGTTTTTAAATAAAATTATACTGTTATAATCAGTGAAACAAGAGACGAAAGACCAAAATGTATTTTCACTGTCTGATATAATCAATGATATTTTCACTGATTTTTAAGAAATAACTCAAGAGAGTATGCATCATTTCTTCATTCTGTTATCATTTCTTTAATTATATGTTATATATGTGAATATAAACTTTAATCTAATTTATTTAACATTTATTATTATTTATGTAATACTGTAATTTTATATTATTATAAAATAAAGTAAACAGATTTCTCTTTGAGCGATGGATTTTGATACGTCGCTCCCAAGAATTTCACTTTCGAATCTTGTGCGTCTCGATCCCAAGAGATTAAGTCTACGTTGCCCGATCTTATCGTAATTTACTCTATCCCCTGCGTTATGTCAATAAACGGCTGAACACGCGTCCGGCATTATCTAAGCGTGACTCCGTCTGTATTTCTTTTTTACGTCTCTCCCGCCGCTTTTCTCTCGGGTGTATCGTTTACCAATGAATCTCGCACGTAACATAACAAGCCCCAGTGTTACGTATAGGGCTGCCAGACCTTATTCTCTCTCCCTCCCCTTCCTCGCTCGTAATCGCCACAAAGGACGTCAACACGACACAGACATTAATTAGATAAGCCCGCGGATTAGATAATCACACTGGAGAACCGAACAACATCGGATCCCTGAAGAATGTCTCATGATTATATCATCGCTCGATTATCATTTTGAGTTTTATAAATATTTCTGCGGTTGCAGGACATAAAAAATTGTATATTATAGATGTGAGTAAACTAATTTTTGATTACAAAAAAAAGCGTTTTATGCGTGCTTTGTTTGGTCTTTTCTTGAACGTAGAACTCAATATAATCATAATTTGAATTTTATCAAAAATTATTAATCTATTTGTTTGCTCCTTAATGAAAACGATATAATCCATTTTCTCCAATAATAATTATGTTCTTATTGCAATACGTTATAGAATCATATTAATGTCTCAAATTAATTTCTGATTTTTTAAATATTTTTTTCGAGTTAATAGCATATATACTATAATATTATATACTATAATAGTATATAATTAATACTATATACTATAATAATATATGTGCTTGAATTGTTTTCGTGTTAGAAAAAGGTCTAGAAAGGCGGCTTTGTTTTTTGTTATGTCTCATTGTCACATTGTAAAAAAATATGTAATATATTACACAAAAATATGTAAAATTACATAAATAATAAGTGTAAAATTAATGATAAATAATAAAAATGTTTACCTTTTCATTATTTATCATGTAATTTTACATTTATTATTTATGTAATTTTACATATTTTTTTTACAGTGCATTAAGGCTCTTTGATCTTCATCGACCACGTCGAAATTGTAGCTTCAGAAGCGAGAAAACATATGCTGAAAATTAATGCGTGCTATTTTTCAGTAAGAAGATATTTTAAAGAAACAATACTACAAAATTTTTTAGCACACTTGTAAAATTGTCCGAAAATTAATTTTTTCCCTTTATAATCAATCAACAGCTGTAAAAGAACCGTAATATGAGGTCCATCTGGTACTTGCATGTGCGCAGTTATTCCGCATGATAAAGTCTGATGTTTCAATTATTTTACTACTGTTGATTAACTGTTAAGAAAAAAGGATAATTTGCGAACAATTTTACAAGTTGCTAATAAATTTTGTAGTATTGTTTCATTGAAATATCTTTTTATCTAAAAATGGTACGCACAAATTTTCAGCATACATTTTTTCGCTTTTGACGTCTCAATCCATGCTGCGAGGCTCAAATAATCAAAAATGTATTTTTTTTTAAACAAATAAAACTCGTTAATTTAGGACGGATACATATTTCTTTTGAATGGAATTATATTTCTCTTATTGTTAAAAGAACAAAGATTCCCCATGGTTACCTAAGTATACGTTTGTTTCACATATGTTTCTTTCCCATGGAAAAATGTCTCTTCTCAATTAGTAATGATGTATAATTAGTAATTATACATTCTTTCAACAAATTAGTATGTGATGACCAGTTTTGAGTAGTAGATATATGTATCTAGATACATTTTGTGTATCTGAGTCTGTATCTGAGATATATTCGAATTGAAGTATCTATATTTGTGTCTAGATACAAAACATGGTTGCTTTTTTTAGATACATTTGCAGATACATTTTCACATTTTTTTAAATAGCCCAATTCTTTAAATTTTTAAAAGATCTGCAAGTTATCAACATATCGTTATCAACATCGGTTGAGCGATTATTAAGCATTGGTCAAATTTTAGTACCGTGACGAAATAGTTAGTTAGTGACGATCTTTGAGGCATTTTTCACGTGTTAAGACTAACGAATAAAATCGTAATATAAACAAAAATATTAATAAAGATAAAAGAATTATTCAGTACATTTTGTGCATATCTGTATCTAGATATATTTTTTTACACGTATCTGTATCGAGATACATTTAAATATATCTTACTCACTAGTGATGGCAGAAGTTAAAAAATCGATGACAACAAAATTAATTAATATACAATAAAGTGTAAGTCCTTGCTTGTATAGATTATAAGCACCCAAGCTAAGTGTCTCGTCAGACAAATTGAAACTATTTCAATTAATTTTATTGACTATTTTCCTTTTTTCCATTCGTAGAAAAAAGTCGTTTCAAGTTAAATAGAATTACGCGTATGAGACCATTTCCATATAAAATATATTTGCAAGTCAATTAAAAATTAATAAATTTTAATTCTTCTGGCGTCTTCATAGTATGTGTAAGTGTGCGTAAAATTTATAATTTATACAAAATACTTACGCTCTCGTGCTTTGCGGCGTGCGATCTCGCTGCCGGCGATTCTTGAACCAATTGGATACTTGAGTTAGTGTCAGGCCGGTCTTCTTCGCGAGATTTTTCTTCTCGTCCGGCGTGGGATACCGATTTCTCATGTAGCATTCCTTCAGGGCGTTTCTCGATCGTTCTTTGAAACAGTAAACTGTCTCTTCGCCGTCCCAAATCGTCTTCGGTAGCGGGTACTTTTTGCGCAATCGATATTTGTCGACGGCACCCAATGGTCGACCGCGAACTTTCTCGGCCTCGCGATAGTGCGATTTGAACCACATTTGCTGAAGTTCAGGGTGACGACGTGGCGAGAAGGGATGACTTTCCAGGATCGAGTAGAGTTCGTGATAGGCTCCGCGATGAAAGGCAACGGCAGCACGCGCCATCAGAACACTCTCGCCTCCACGCAGCAGTTCTCCAGGCGGCAAGGACCAAAGAAATCTGTGTCAAAAATTTTTTCATTTTACTATATATGAAGCAAAAAATATTAAAAATATTTCGGGCAAAAAATAGAACTTTGAAGACAATTTTTTGAACAAACAATAAAAAAGACGCGTGAAGAATTATAATACATGAGGTATTATGGAAAAACTTATGTACGACTTACATTAAAATGTCCACTTTATGAATTACCTCGACAATTTCTCAATATCCTGACTTTGCGATAGCGCTTCACACATGCAGGATATTTGTTCGGGTGTGAAATTGCTATTGGTAGTGCTGAGGGAGAGCCCGCTGATGTTGACGATATTAGTGTTCAGGTGGCTGGCGGAGCTGCAGGTAGAAAGTTCCTGCGAATACTGGGGACTGCCGTTTGACGTCGGCGTCGGATTCTGGGGATGGTGGCTCAACCCCAGACCGGACATCGACGTCGCATTACTGTACTGCGCGGCTGCATTGCGATGCACGACGCCTATCTGACTGTTGCAGTCGCTGTTCGGCGATGACAGCTGATCCGAACTGTCCGACATCCTTGACTGACGTCTGCGTGGCTCTCATGAACCGAGATGTCAGACAGAAGACAGGATTCCGAGCTCATTCGCCGGTCCCATGCGCGGGAAATATAATGAAACGTAATAAACGTGAGTTTTTTTCACGATTCTCTTTCCGTTTTCTTGATCGACGCACTTGTCTCAAATCACAGATTAAAAATACGATTTCTTGCTCAAAATTGCAAATGAAAAATGGACCAACACTCTGTGTCGCACAATCTTCATTTCAATAAAGTTTCAACAATTCACTGACAGTTCTATATCTCTACGAATGTTCGTTTATTGTCCATATATTTTATATTAGATATTGTCACTTTTTTCGTCGAACGTTTGTGAGACGTAGTTTTCCACTTCTGCCATTCAGCAGTTCGGGATACTATATCATGGTGTCTTATAGATCAGCCGGATGAATAACTGATGACGAAAGTAAGCATCCGTTATTCGCACGTTCGACGCGACGATTGTTTAATCACACATGTTTCATTCATAACGATGTCGATTACATTCTCATTCATCAAGACTTACTCCAATAAAGCCTTGGCATTTAAAAAGAAAGAGCGCAAAATACACGTATTTAAGAAACTGTATATTTGCACGCTTTAAGTCTAAAAAAATTTTATAGTTTTTCTACGATAATCGTACACCTATGAAATTATCGTTATCTTATAAAACATCTGACGGTTCATGTACTTTATTACAAAAGAGTACCTCGAATGCTTAATTATTTTTTAATCATTACGATGTCACACTTATTCACATAATTGTCAGTTTAAATTTTTATTTAAAACTTTAATAAACGCGTTTCTACAAACGATAGCCATTTTGCGTTTTACATCGTTGATTAAAAAATGCATAGAATTGCTATATATATATTACGCATATATGATTATTTATTTGTCCTTCAAAACTGTATTTGATTTCTGCATCGTAAGCAAATAACTTCGAACTTGAGTTTCGGAGGTGTCTGAAACCAAATCTGAACTTCTCGATATTTCGACGACGGTTCATAATGAATTATGTAATGATAATGCGACACTTATTGGTGCATCTGCAATAATTCAGCTGTGCGAAACAGCTCGATCCTTCTTCAAAGATATCCATTTTTAGTCCACTGTTTAATTGTTGTCATGAGCGAACTAATCAAACTCTTAAGTCTTTCCGATCATCCGATTGACAGTTAAAAACGGTTAGCTATGGACCACCCGCGGCTAAGGAATTCAACTTACATAAAAGAAAGAAATAAAAGAATGTTTTTCTTAGACACTTTCTGTTCTTGTACCACTACATTGGATATCGTCGTAAAATCACCATCTTTTCCGATGATCCTCACAAGGGTGGTAACCATTCGAAGAAGTTGCGGATCACGTGAACAAATAACCGATTGAATAATTGACCGAACTTGTCGAGTAAAATCACTTTTTAAACGCGACGGACCACTCACTGAGTGACCAAGTCACCAAGTTAGTAAGGCGAACTACTCGCTCGTGGTGGAAGCCACCGTCGCGTTGGCTTCCGTCGTTGAATTGTGGTCGTGTAGTCGCTTCTGTCGACGGTTGTGGTGGTGCCCAGTAGCACTATGCTGACAGTGCCGTCCTTTCTCTCTCTCTCTCTCTCTCTCTCTCTTACTCTTTCTCTCTCTCTCTCTCTCTCTCTCTCTTTCCTCGTCTCTCTTTTGCTTCTCTCTCTTTCTTTCCCCTTGTTCTCCTGCTCGTCCTCCACTTTTTTTTCGGCAGAACCGCGAAGCTATGTACGAGATGATTGGTCGATGTATAGTAGTGCAACGCCATGCCATTGGTCCGATTCCCCCCCATCGGGGGCGTTACATGATTGCTACCCCCAAACGATGACATCATCCCCATCCGAGATCACCGGTGCCGCTACTGCTCTGCTGGTCCCGACGCTTCCTCTGATTCCTCCGTACGTGGTGCTGGATTCTCACCTGGCGATTTCCGCGACGGACCGATTACCTGGATATATCGAATTTCGGCGATTTCTTCCTCGAGTCTGACTCGCGTAATTTCTCTTATTACATAACTACTGTGACAAATTATGGCATTACGCAACAGGTTTTCTTTCCTATAATATTGGATGTCTTGGTTGCATTTATAGGTTTTATTTGGAATATATCTTTTCCCCCCTTTAGAATATATCTTTATATCATTTTAATCTTAATTTTAATATAATTCATATATTTTCACAGACCTAAGTATATCTTTTAGAATAATAAGAATTTAATTATCAATAAGATTTCATTACTTCTTTTAATTTAAATTTTATTTTTTTTAAGAATGGTTTCGATCAAAATATTGAATTTCGAGAACCATATTTGAAAGTTGTGAAAACACATTGACTATCAAAACTTAAAATAATCGGCTTTAAATCGATTAAAAAATTCAACCCTCAAGTGTAAAAATTTAATTCTCATAAAATAAAATTTGCTTCCAGTTTAAAATAATTCAAAGCGCGTAGACGGCAACAGAAATTTGCTTAACGAAGATTTCGTTTTATTTGTGTGCTTATCGCATAACTCTCTTCCGTTTTACGATATTCAGCAATTTTTGTGCGATTTTTGTTTCGCGCGGTAGATACTGTTTTCCACTATCGCGGAGCCGGTCGAGGAATCACGGAATACGCGAGACCAATAAACACCGGAAATGGAACGTGTCAACGTTACCATACACCATGTTGTGATTCCACACGACGCTATCGTGCCTTGCGTTTAACTAATTTCACAACAACCGGCAATAATCATCCACCCTTTGCTGATAGATTTGACGAAAGGAAGTCTGTCGTAAATTTTTGTTTACGAATTATTACATAGATATCATATTTCGAACAATTTATCACGCGCGTGACGTGAAGATGAATATATAATATAATAGAATAGTTGAATAGTTGAACAGTAATATGTAAAATATGCTCCTCAATATTAACGTTAAAATTAGATCACATAATACGTATAAAAAGTATATACATCAAAAATAGAATTATCGTCCATTATCTTTATTTACTTAACAGTTACTTAACAGTTACGTAACTCTATTAAATTTTTTGTTATTACCTTATTTACTATAGATAGAAAATGATTGCTTTAGAACAGTGATTCTTAATCAGTGTTCCACGAATTTGTTACAAGTGCCTACCTAGAAAAAACTATTATAATTTTTTTTAACTTTATGAATATTATTTTTTTAAATTTAAATTTAAATTTATATACAAATTTACAATTTTTTATTGTTATATAATCTGTACTGTATAATTTTTAATAAAAAGTATGTTCATGTATATTTTTGTTATTAGTTTTATAACTTTAATAATTTTAGCTATAAATTCGTTTATTTCTTACATCGTTTCGACTATCAAGTTTTGATTCTTTTCAAGTATAGATTACAAAAATCTAAAGAATGGAGAATCTAAAGAATAGAGGATCGTTCCATTTTAATTATATTACATTGTAACATTTACTTGAAAAGGACCAAAACCAGATGATTGAAACGTTGTAAGAAATAAACGAATTTATAGCTAGTATTGGTCGAATTACAAAAATACCTTGATTTATTAATTTACTAGCGACAATAAAATTATTATTTAATGATTTTTTGGTGTTTCGCAAATTTATAATGAAAAGTGTTCCGTAACTTTAAAAAGGTTAAGAACCACTGCTTTAGAAGAAGACTTTGAATGCGGGAAGATATCGAGGAAGGTGGCTATCATTTTTTTAGAGCGTTTACTTTTCATGATAAGATTTTCACCCTCTCGCGAAGGTCGTCGGCTCATCTCCGGAGTCGTATTATGATACACATTTCTGCAAATATGATCCAACGACAAACGTAACTTTAGCTGTAGATCGGTCCGAATACGAACTCGTACACGCCCAAGGATCGGTTTCGTTCATTCACGACCATCGTATATATCGTTTATCATTACGTATTCTTATAAGCGCGTGCATTTCGATCGTTTACCTCTCTCTTATAATTTCAGTGAAATCCTGCACTACATACAATTAACCGAATTAAGTAATTAAATATAATATTACATATTTTTCTTTTTTTAGAGAAAAATATATATATATAATATTAATATTTCTTAAAAATTAGTGGAGATATATTAGAGAAGATTCTTCTTCAATAAAATATTTATGCTACGTGATAAAAATACATACATGAAGAAAAAATCCTAAGCTAAATAACAAAATACTTTAATATCGTAATTATTATAAAATAATCTGAGGATATTTAAGGGTTGATTATTATTAACGATAAAGAATAATTACGACAGATTTGGAGCGTTCGTCACGTGACGGAAATCTGGCGGTTGAAAATAGCAAAGTGTCTGGCGGACCACCGGCGTTATATAGATCAATGAAAGCCGATGCACCGGTAGATGAGCGAAGATGTCTTTTCACGCCACGCCTCGCCAATCCTTTGAATCTGATCCGCCTTTTTCGACTAATTGCTATTCGTATGTCCTACGATGTAGACGTTACGTGACGTTACGTGAAAATGTTGCTTATAATTCAAGTGAAAGACTTGTAAACTTGTTAAAGAAAGAGTTAACGGACAGATACATTTTAATAATGCACTGCTAATGTTAGATAAATTAATTTGTAGAATAATTTTAGATTTAAAAAAATTAGATTTTAAAATAGACGATTTCACGTGAACTGATTGATTTATCTCTATACATATAATCTTGATTACTCTCTACATATAAGTTAATTATTATGATTTTTATTTTAAACTTTATTTTTATTTTAAATTGAAGATTATTGTGTGGAAAAAAGATACATTTTTTCTGATGACTAAAGTTTCTGAGTCTTTATTTTATTAAAAATTTCTTATATATCTTGATATATGAGGGTTGAATTTTTTAATTGATTTAAAGCCGATTATTTTAAGTTTCAATAGTCAATGTGTTTTTCACAACTTCTACATGTTCTCTATAAATATTTTGATTGAAATCACAATTCTGAAAAAAATAAATTTACTTTCGCGAAAGATTTACCTGGATTCGTCATTTTTTTCTGATATGGGTTCCACCTGTTAACTGATGCAGTTTGTATAGCCTTTCAATTGATATCATCGATCACGGAATAAAAAAAAAGGAGAAATTATGAGATGTATATAAAATATGAGAAAATTGTGATAATTATTCCGATTCATCTACGTTCGGCGACGGGGATGACACCGTTCCCAAAGCCAAGATCCAATGATAAAGGGGCGGCGCCGCGCTTTGCGATGGCGTCTCCTTCGATTTGGTGTCGGATTTCTCTCCGAGCCGCCATTTTCTCTCCTCCTCTCTGTCTATCTCGCCCTCTTCTTCCCTGTATCCTCTCATCCCCAACCCTTGGGACGGGGATGATGCTCTTCCTTATCAAAACGAACCGACCGACTTTGCCGGTCCTCCTCCATTCCCGTTAGATCCAAGGGTGCACTTGACGTTTTCGATATTCGCACGAGTATACTTCTTTACGGTCTGCATGCTTCTCGAAGAAAAAATTGTAACTGAAATATAACAACGAAAAAAAAAATATATACGAATTTAAAAAATAATGTTTCCTATAAACCATGAATTGTACAATTAAAGTTGTGCAATTATACATATAAGTAATATGTGTGTGCTGATGCAGATTCAAAATAATTTATGATTCGAGATGCATTATTTCTATTTAACTTAAATGAAAATGTTGAGGGAGGTCATCTTTTTTTTTTTTTGCAAGCTCCCGATTTTGTCATAATATATCTATGTAGCTAATAATAAGCCTTAAATTAAATTTGTATTAATTGAAGAATATATACTTCTGTATATCTTCCAACTCTACAAAATTTGATTTGCGCAAAGTGTTTTCTATCAATACCTTATAACTTGAAAATGATTGATACCTCTGAACATATTCGTTGAGAGAAAATCGTCTCCAAATTAGGTAAAGAATTCTGTCTAAATTGATCTACATCAGAATACACACCCCCGTATACATTAAAAGTGCATTTTGTCGGACGCGTTCGCGCGAAACGAATACATTTCTTCTCTCATCGTATAATTTCGTGCATTCAGAGTTGCATCGAGATTGCAGATAGATACGACAATGTCGACGAACGAAGCAATCCTGGAATTAAATTTGTTCGACACAGCGAGAGAAGAGCGCTTTGAAGCGAGGAGAAACGCATTTCGTCGGAGACGAGGCGCGAATCCACTTTGCACCTTGTCAGAACTCGACCGTTCGGAAAGCACCCTGTTTGTTGTACCTGGGCACATCAAGGCATTCGTGTACGAGGCAAAGAGCACCGGCAGGTGTTACGCGGAGGTGGGAAAGAGAAAGAGAGGGACGGAAAGACAGAGCATAGCAGGGGTTGCGTGGAGGAGGGAAACAGCAGCAGCAGCAACAGCAGCAGCGGCGGCATCGTGTTTCACTGTACTGCGTTTAATTGCATTCCAAAATGGCTCTGTGCAAAATCCTCCCCCTCCCTCTCTCGCCTACCACTCTCGCAATCCTCTTCCAGCCGGGCACAGACGGCGAGGCATCTTCAGCGCCGTAAATCCAGATAAA